TTTTAGCTGGTTGATATAAATAAGTTATTTTAAAGATTGGTTTAACTACTTAACATCTTTGTCAAACGTATAGAGAACCAAGTACGATATCGACAGCGATAGATGACATGGTTGCTTACACTAAACTGACAGACCACGTGTATTATCAAATCCTCTATTCAACTGATAAGGACTTAAAAAAGGTAAGAACAGTAGTTTGGTTATTTATTGAGTACAGGTTACTGCAATTATAGAGATTGCTTCATAGAAAGTGCGACTTACGGGATTATATTCACGAGTTGTTTGTGTAAAGCACGAACGAGCGAGCTGCGAGCGAGTGAGTGTTTTACACAAACGAGTGATATAATCCTGTACAAAGCACTTTCTATGGTGTTATCTGTTTATCATATATATATAACGAGAATTTTTTGGCATAAAAATGATTTTATTTTTCTTGAGTCCAAACTTGTGTTGAAAGCGTGCGTGGACGTAAACTTTTAAAACCAAAAAAACACCGACAAATCTTATGCAAAAAAAAAACACCATAACTTTTTTTGATATAGTAAAAGACTTAGTAAGACAGAATGAAACTAGACCTTTGAACGTAAAGACTATCGTAATATAAAGTGTTTGAATCATATCAAAAAAGAAAAGAAAAAACATCAAGTCTACAACTTTTGAAAGCTGAAGCCAAACTGTTGAATCCTCGGGAAGAAAATTGCAAGAAAAGAAAATACCTTCTGCTTTTTCGTTTCTTCGTCAGTCTATCTCCAGGTTTTCTAAAACCATACTATTAATGCATCAAGACACATTTTTAGATAAATTCTTCAAGGACGGCACAGTTTTTAGCTTGAAACCTCCATCTTTCGGCGAGAAGTAGAAACCACTAGCTCGTCCGTTTTGATATCATATAGACGTCTTTCTCTGATTTTTCTGGCTTCAAATACCCTTACAGCAAAGTCTTGCCACACGACCATACATTTGTTTGTAAATCATACCGCTTTCAAAAAAAATTTGCTTGTAGCTTGAATTTTTTTAATGCTAATGAGGAAAAAGCGTAAACAAAGATCGGCCAATAAAATGCACTTCTGGCGGAACATGACAAATCCGTGAAATACTTTTGCTAAGAAAGCGTCGTGACTACATTTGGCATTTTATCTGTTTTGAATTATTCTTTAAGGAATATGTCGAAAATCGAGTCCCAGCTCGAGTCCCAGCTCGAGTCCCAGCTCGAGTCCTAACTCAGATCCTGACTTCGCATTTAGGTATCCTCAAAACAGCCCGTCAACTTTCAAAAACAACAGCTTTTTCCTCTGACCAGGAAGCCAGAAAAGAGTTATTTCTCGTTCTCTGATTGACTGAGGAATTTATCGACGATTCTGATTGGTTATATTTTTCACATGTGAAAAATGCTATACGCGACACTGATTGGACGGACAGAACAGAAAAACGACAAGGCTGCTACTTTCGCATTTTTTTTCTTTATCTCTCATTCATGATAAAAAAAAGTTTAGTGTTTCATTCGTGTCTCCTGTGCTTTAAACTTTTCACAAAATTCTTCTAACCTCGAGCAATTCTACTTTGAGTTATTAGCGAAAATGTTAGTTTTTGTGATGATCAAAATATCATCTCTCCCAACGTTCAGGGCGTTATATCTCAAATACGCATTCCTTAAATTTCCCTGTAACTGTTCTATTTACTGATCTTACAACCCCATTCCACGATAAAATAATTATTCCCTTCTTCTGGGGCGCACGGACTTATATGAGCATATTTAATCGGTCATTGTTGTAGAGTGCAAACAATATAACCTTGAAACTATAGTAATACTAAATAGCACAATTTCATGCACATTCCATTGTTTTCTATTGTTTTATTAGCACTTATATTTTGTACTATTTAGTAATTAGTGTTTCACGG